GCTGCAGCAACGGGCTCCGAGCTGCACCCATGGCTGAACTGCCTTGTAGCTGGAGACATTTCTAACTTAAAACCCATTTGGGGCCCAGTTCTACATCCTGATTTAAACAGCAGGGATAAATGTTGGAGCAGTTTGGGGCAATTCAGGGTTTTTTGGATGTATTTTCATTGTATGGCAGAGGCAACCACTCCTGTTTCCATGTTGATGCACCTGGAAAGAAAGAGAAAATGACCCCGGGAGGCTGAGGATGAGTTTGCAAGCAGCTCCTGTAACACTAAGCCCCATCCCCACTGAGCTCATCACCCCCTTCCTGCCCTCCACAGCCTTCATATTTGTAATGTCTGTTTGCTTTAAGGTTCTCCTGACTCTCCACTCTAGGAAACCCATGTTGTCTCTGCATCCTGCTAGCCAAACACTGATTGCTTCTAAACCAGGGCTTAAAGAGTTTCCTGGGGGTCTAGGATTGTATTTGTCTGAAATTAATACAGGCGGAGAAGCAGTGAGCTCCAGGATAATACCGAGGGGAAAGACTTCTCCTGTGTGGAGCCCCAGTGGCTGGGTGTGATGCCTGGGTTTTCATCAGGGCCCATCCTTGTCCTATGGGTGGCTCATGGGCCAGATCTTCCACGCGGTCTGGCTGGTGTATATTTAAAATGTCATCGTTCCTGGCTGTCTGCTGAAAGAATTGCTTTCTAGCTGTCTGAGAAGGGGGACGGGCACAAGCTGTGCTCTCCCCTGCCCTGCCAGCTTGTTGAAGAAGGCCTCTTCCCTCACCATAATCTCCTATAGCTGTAGGGAGGACATCTTGTTGCCTTTTTCGCTGGTCTAACGGTGAATCAGACCTCCTGGTTGTCATTTGCCTGACAAAGCAGTGGTGGAGGCAGCGGAGCGGTCTCTGGGCTCGGAAGCACAACGCTGCAGTGATCGTTTTTCTTTTCCCTTTGCCTTCGCTGCCGCTGGTGACAGAAATGAAGCGCTGCCTCCCGTCCCCCTCCTTCTCCTACCACTCCTACCTCCTGCACCGATTCCTTCTCCTTCCTCCTCTCGGCAAGCATCGGCTTCTTGCAACGAGGCAGGCGCAGAGCTAAAATTGTCAAGAGACAGATAAAAGCTGGGAGATCATCCTTTTCTTTCTTTTTTTTTTTTTTTTGCAAGGGAGGTAATTAGGAATAGAACCTCTGCGAGGAAGAAGATCTTTCCGTCATCATTACTTTATCTCCAGGCAGCTACTCTAATCTCTCCAGGGACATGGCGCTTTCAAGCATCGTATTCTTGCTGTGTTTTTTTTAATGCTTTAATCCCTACGTAGTTCACCCACTTTTGCTATTAAGCAGCAAGTCAGCGCGAGCTGGTGTGTTTGTGCGCGTAGGTTGGGGGGGGGGGGGGCATGCACATGCGTGTGCGATTCTGGGTTCAATTAAATGTGCTTTGGTTTTGATCAATGTGTCCCCAGGGGGTGTTTCCCTCAGGAAATGATGGGACTGGTTGGAAGGATTATTCGTCTAGGTGAAAAGCTAAGGAAAAATGGCCAAGCCCCAAACTGCAGAGGGCCCAAAGTTAGAAATGCCGTGGTTTTTTGTGACTGTAGTGGGTGGTACAGTGGGGCTGCAAGGTTCCTCCCCTGAGGAAGGAGAGCGTTCTGCTGGCCTGTCTCCAGCTGCTGTGGCTTAGCAAAATGTGGGAAGTTCGTTTCTGGACCCTCAAGCTCCGGGTTTCCCTGGGCTGCCTCTCTACACTGCTGTGAGCCAGTCAAAGCCTTGTTGGGGCCACTGCGGGTAACACGTGCTGGTCCCTTAGCTGCTAGCGCAGAAGGCAGATACTCGGCTGGCTTCACCTCGCCGGGTCTTTAGTTTCCACACTGAGCGACCAGGGGCCCGCGTGTAGGTGAAGGCAAGTCTGGAGTAAGGGTCTGATTCACAGCCCTGGATCTGTAAGGAAACGCAACAGTTACTCTGCCCTGACTGCTCCTTTCTTACTCGCCGCTCACCACAGGCGGAAACTCTTTCTGCCCTTTGGCAGCCATGGTGAAATGCATTAACCCAAAGAAGTGCCGTTTGCCACACGGCGTTAGGTTGTGTTGTACTCCTTAGCCAAGAAACAAATGGAACCGCCATCTGCAAAACATACGTATATGTAATATATATACTGCCCCGTGCTTTCTTTTAGCCATCGCCATCCTCGGTGGCAGGAGACTGGAGGGCAGGCTGACACTTCGTCAGGTGGAGGGCACCCACAGACTCTTTCTTTTCTCGGCTGCTCTGGCCAGGTTTTGGGACCTCCCCATCGTCCCTGTGGGCGCAGGCCCTGCCGTGCCCCGTCTCCTCTCTGCGATAAAGCAGGAGGGTAGGGGTTGCAGTACCGAAGGAGCTGGGCTGGGGACTCGGGGCACACCAAGGTCCTCCCTGCAGCTCTCGGGAGGGCAGGAGCTCGCTCTCTCAGATGGTCACAGCTCTCCGGAGGCAGGAGGAGTGCTCGGGCGGCCCAGAGGGGATACTGAAGCCAAATTTCGCTAGGATCAGACCTGCCACATTGTGTTGAGCTTAGGGAAGGCGACGCTGGTGTGCAAGGAATGGGTGGCAGCTGAAAGCAGCCCAGCCCTCTGCTCCGGAGGAGAGAGCAACCTGCTCTGGGACCGCCGGATCCCTTGGTCTGCTGGGCAAGGCAGCACCCCACACGTGCCCTTGGCTCCTGCTTCCAGCGACGTCTGCTGCCGCAGCACTAGCAGCCGTCCCCGTGCCAGATGCTCTGGAAGCACAGCGCGTTCCCCGTGCAAGCACCGCACGATGCTTAATGAGCCTTCCTGGCTCTGGGAGGGAGCGGAGGAGGCTCCCGGCAGGACAGAAGAGGTGCGGGGAGGCAATTAAGGCAGCCCCCCCATTGCTAGGGCAGCGCGGGTAATGGGGGCGTCAGAAGCGTGGCCTCCTGGGGTCGAAGTGAGGGCTGGCTTGACCTGGTTTGAGGTTGACATGCCGCAGGGAGCCATGACCTGCGATGCTGCGGGTGTTGGGGAACATGGGAGCTCCCCAAAGCTCACCCCGAGGTGGACGTCCCAGGGTTGCCCATGTCCCCAGGGAGGCAGAGCCTGCACCACTGGTGGTGCCTCTGGAAAACCAGGCAGGGGCTGGAGGGGTTCAGGAACTGCATTTTCTTCTCAAAACTGGTAATTAACAGCCATCAGGCCTGAAGGTTTCCCATTGCCATGTTTGACCTGGTCGTCTTGTTCATTGCAGGACGAAGCCCTTTTCGGCAGGGGGTGTTTGAGCCCAGCTAAGCCCTCGTCCCGTGGGAAGCCCTTCGGCAGTGAGTCCTGCAGCTTAGGAAAGGAAGTGTCAGCCCCTTTCCTCCCCTCGGAGCGTGGTAAAACGCCCCCTGGCAGGGGG